CCCCAAAACCCCAAAACCCCAAAACCCCAAAACCCCTTTTATTGTTGGAAAAATTGATGTATAAGAGAAATATGCTAGCACTTTATGTCTTTGGACATCTTCTTACTATCGCAAGGGAAGTAAGCTTCATAAGGCATGTCGTTAGTTTTGGACGAGTCAATGTCCCTATAAGGTGAGGTGTCTATGATAGTCGTCCTCCGAGTCTCTCCCTTCGTGTTTAGAGTAGATAGATTGGAAATTGTATTATTCAGTCGGTAAACATCTTTGGAAGATGACTCATTATAAGTGAACCAAGGATCACGTAAAATCATTGATGCATTGATCCTCTCTTCAGGCTTTATTTTGATCATTTTCTGTAAAAGTGATTTTGCAATATCAGAAACATGATCAGGAATCATGATTTCTCCTCGAGAGATCCTGGAGTAGAGCTCACTATCAGTTTTGCCTTTGAAGGGGAATTTTCCTCAAAGTAAAGCATATAAAAGAACTCCAAGTGCCCATATATCAGCTGGAGGTCCACAAAATTCTCTCTTTGATACTATTTCTGGAGCCATATAGCTTGGAGTCCCTCAAAATATTTTTATCTTTTTCTCATTAGGAATACAAGTTGAGAATCCAAAGTCGATCAACTTAACTTCAGTTTTGCTTTCATCAAGCAAAATATTCTCAAGTTTGATATCTCGATGTGTGATACTTTTAGAATGTCAATATTCAATGGCTGAAGCAATTCTGAAGAACAGTTTCTTAGCATCTGACTCTTTCAACTGTTTATTAGGCATAGACTTCAATAAGGAATGTAGAGACCCTCCTTGAACATTCTCCATGATTAGGTACACCTTATCCTCATAATCGAATGCTTCATATAGCTGGATAATATTCTTGTGTTGCATTCTTTCAAGTAGCTTGATTTCTCTTCTAACTCCTTTGCGTTTTTGTGGGTTCTTGAGATTGATCTTATCATATACTTTAATCGCTACTTTCTGATTTGTATGGCTATCAATCCCAGCTCTGACTACAGCATAGGCACCTTGTCCAATCTTCTTGCCGACAATATATCTATCAAAATGAGATGGATTAGCTCCATCAGTGCAAAAACTAAGGTCTGTGAAGTGATTCGGAATAGTCTTTTCACAACTATTCTTCATTAAATTTTGGTTAGAATACGTTGCTACTCTTCTTTTTGTGGGTTTTCCTTCAGGCTTGTAGTCAAAATTGAAGTCATTTTCTATGAATCTCTTTGCTCTGGTTCTCATACTCTCTTGGTTCTGCCTCTTACTGTCTTTGGAGCTCGTACATGACTTGTTTTCTGTGTATCTAGATATAAATGCTGGAATAATACCTCTTTTTGAAGTTCTCATAGTTCATTTTAGCCTTCTTGTGTTCTAAGAGTTTAGTATTACGAGTAGCATTAGTCTTTTTAGCCTGAGTTTTTTGCTGTCATTTGTCCTTAGTGGAGTTTGACATGCTCAGATTCATTGGGCTGATCGCAGTTGTAGCAGTTTTTCCAAGATTATCGATATCAGTTGTGTTTTTAGGAAAGAAATTTATTGCGAGAGGACCACTCATATTAAAATTTTCCTTGCTCTTTTTAAAATCCTGTTGCCTTCATTGATAATGCTCTAATACATCCTGTGGATTATGTTCCATAATTACCATTGTTGGTGTAGGTTTCCTGATTGCTGACTGAATTCTGTTTTCTGACAAGGTTCTCTTCCTAGTGGAATTTATTTTCCCATAATTTGATTTCTTCTGGATATTCTGAGCACTTGAAATTGAGTCATTAACCCTGTTAAATTTTTGGATGGTGAGAGGATGGCTCTCTCAATCTAGAATAATAAGTGTTTAGAATACCTTGCTCAGTATATCCTCTTGAATTAGATGAGGTAAGGAAACTATTTATGGTATTTTTAACTCCAGAGAGTTGATATTCCCCTCTAAATTTTTTCAGGTAGCATTTGTTTTGCACTTTTCGACCGATTTTTACGGCTTTGGAAATAGATTGTGCAGTTGCTTCCAGCTTCTTTGGGGTCTCTGGTTTGCCAAGATTACTTATATCCATCTTCTGAGTGATAGTTATAGAATCTACACCGAAATTAATGGTTATTAAATGTTGAATAACTCTTACTTCTGTTGTTCCAATTATTGTGAGGGCTTGCTGATGGGAATAGGTTACTCTGATAGCTACTCTTCTTATTAAATTTAGCCTGCGAGCTTGAAATATACTTTGATATCTTCACTGGGGCTGACACATTCATTAGATCACTTTCATTTATTTCCTTCAGCCGACCTATCGAGGAGTGTTTACTGATAGTTCCACTAAAATCTTTGAAATGGAAAACATTAGTATCTGATAACTTATTTCTTTCATCTGTCTGGTCTCTTTTAGGTGAGATGGTCTCTTTATGGCCAAATTTATGAAGGTTCAACCTTTTCCTAGGATGAGGCATCTTCTTGATTTTATTAAAATTAAACTTGGACTTCACTCCAGACTTCCTGTTTGTTTTCCTAATCTTATTAATTTGTATTTTAGTCCTTGTAAATGGAATAAATTCTTGTGAATCCCTGCAGATCTGATATTTACGAGGCTCTGGATGGAAATAAACAGACAGGACTTACTGTGGATAGACCCTCTGATAATACTCTTATGCTTAATAACTTTAGCAGGATTACTTTTGGTCTTGTTGAATTGCTCTTTCCTCTTATTCTATAGGAAATTAAATCATATGTCTTATTTGAAAATTTGAAGAGGAGTGTAACTACCAGAAAATACAAAACTCGACTTACTTAGCATATGGTTTGGCTGGATCATGTAATTTTCCGAATTATGTATTTTAGTTGTTCTCTCAAAGATGTTTCTCGTGTGCTTTCCAGTAGTTGGTCTGTGAAAACTCTATAATAATTATGGTGTTGTCTTGAAGAGTAATTTAACAAGTTTGAGCTGTTCTTTACCTTTTGATAGTGCTGAAATTGCTTCGAAGGGTCTTTGAAATTCATTATTTATCCAATTTAAAAATAATTTAAGGGGTTTTGGGGTTTTGGGGTTTTGGGGTTTTGGGG